CGAGGAAAGGTGTGCCATTTACATATTGAAACTCATTCCAGACCTTCCCATCATACACATCCGTCATTCCAGTACCGGAGACATCTCTCTCTCTCCATTGTTCGCACTTTTCTTGGAAGCTAGGCTTACTTACAAGTTCTTGAAGAGATTCCACAACGCTCTTATAGCAAAACGTGCTCTTCGGATACAGATATTCACCAACACCATTAATAGACTTTACTTTCTTCATCAGAACAGTACCACATTTACGACGTAACTCAGACCGCCTGTGAGGATGGCTATAGAAGGGAACAAACTCGCACTTCCTAGACACCTTTTCGCCATTCGCCTTTGTACGGTATGCCTCTTCCATAGTATACCTAGTCCTGCACTTGGGGCATACAACGAACTTCACAAAATCATCTCGGTGGAGTCCTACACAATTACGAAGGGAGTACAAAGTGGTAGGAATAGCCTCAGAAAGCCCGACAATGCTATCAACACCATAGACATTTCCAACGACCTGAATGAACAGCTTGACGGCCAGTAACAATGAGTGCACGGCGTTATCAGAAATCTTGAATATGGTTTGCCAAACTAACAATAACATAGTTAAGAGTTTGACAAACATGTGCTTCTTACCTCCCGGTGTGTCGCTCTCTCCAGTAGCGCTGTTGTCAACCGCGACAAACTCTTCTCCTGTCGGCGCTTCTCCACTCCAAATTTCGGGTTCTTCTTGGTCATCCACATCTTCTCGTATGTCTCGCTAGAAAAATGAATATGAAGTTACGATCCTTATTATATGTAATCTTCCACTTCCAAGAGTGTAAAAGGGTAAAGTAAAACTGTTACCTTGCTTGTAATCATTCCCTTTTGTTCAGTACTGAATTGTCTTCAATTGCGTGTTGAGTTGCTTTACTCTGAGGCTTCTCATCGAACCTGTTATTCCACACGCAATGCGCATGATTACCATTCTGAACTTTTTTTAAGACAACATTTTTACTCACTTTTGTCATCGCCGAATTGTCTTGAATGACGTGTCAAATATATACAATTTATACCAGCAGCTTTACCTTGAGTTTCCAAAAAAAACTGTTATGTGCGTAATAACCCTTTTTGAACTTTTTTTCAAACACAACATTTTTCTTTATAGATGACGATAAATGCATAAGTTAGAAAAAAATACCTCTTCATAGCATGCGTCGCCTTGGTCACTAGAAGTGTCAGATCCTGTATCGCTGAGGAAAAGCCGGAGATCTTCATCTTCAAGCCAACCATTCGTCTCCCCTTCTCCAACATCAAACCCGTCATTTTCTTCAAGAGAAAACAAAAGATTTATGAAAAAATGTTTCTTAAACATAAATA